TAGATTCGGTCCAAACCCGTCCTCATTGCAATCGCACATTCGCCTCACACATCGGCCTGTCGGTCACTTGCGAATCCATCGTAAACTAGTGTCTGGAGCACCAACCTACACTCGCCGTCGCGCATTCTCTCACCCCATGGACGTCCATGGAAACCCGCGGTAGACGACCGCCGGATACACCACACCATCACACCTTCCCTCACTCACGCCTGTACCACACAACATCACCCGTCGTAAGTGGGAAGCGCGCTTCCCGGCTCCTTCTCCACGTGGCTCCTTTGCTGTATGTGTATCCCGAGTTGGAGACTAGCACGGTGTGCCAAGCACCGTGGCTTGGAAAGCTGCCGACCGACGCCTCAACTCCATCCACACAGTCTGCCCAGTTGTGTGCATTTGTACTAATTAACGGACTGGAAGATTGAGAGTCGGGGTGTAACGGTTCCTTCTCAATGAGACTTCTGGCACTCTCACACATGTGAGGAGTATGTGAGGATATTCACAGTGTCTCTCAGTCGATTGCTGATTGGTTACTCGGCCTTTGAAGTGTGATGGCTCAGACAAATGCAGGTCTGCGTGTCACCCTTCTGGGCATCAAGTGTCTCCTATGCCAGAATCAGCAAACCATGGCCCTCGCAGCCTGGTGTGCGCTGGCAGTCCTCTGGGACCTGGTTCTCTGCCGGTGGATGCACTTGCGCTCCCGCTGGGTATACAGGTAGTGGGCATGGCTGCCCAGTCATTTTCGTCGTTTTTCTGACGCCTTGTGTTACTGTTGTTATTGGTTAACATTTCGGTCAGTTGTGGTGTGGACCAGGGATGTGGAGTGGAGCGCCTAGGTGTGGGTTCGGTCGCGCCAGCCGCCTGCGCCCTCCCGGGGCCAGGCGGGGAGGAGAACGAGGAGGAGGAGGATGGGGAGGAGGAGGAGGAGGAGGAGGAGGAGGAGGAGGAGGAGAGATAGTGAGGTTACATTTGGAGGTACGCACATGGTAGGGCAGGAAATTGAGTGCATGGAGGGACAGAGGATGAGGGTTGTGGAGAAGCATGGGATAACGGTTAGCACCTTTCTGCCCTTGCAGCAGATTTGGCTATTTGACCCAGTCGACGCTGACAACATCCTCCTTGTTACCATGATGTCTCCGATAGGTCTTGTTGGTGGATCAGGGTACACCGAATTATCCTTCCTACAGGGATTCTAGCGAATTGCGCACATACACGATAGTTAGACCGTCGATTTTGACTATGTCCACCGTGTACCCTACAGCAGTGGTGGGAGCAGGGACGGTGATTTGCGCAGAGGTTTATAGCGCCAGAAGACTTGCGCTGCATCTACCACACTCTCTCCTCCTTCTCCGCCTAAGTCCGGTGTCAAGACACAGTCAAGAAGACCGGAGACGAAAGAGGCCGCAGGTGGATGGCTTGGATGGATCCTCACCTTGGCGCTCCACTCCGCACCCCCTGATCCACACAACAATGATCAGGATTTTGACCACAAAACAATGGGGTGGTGACAGTTGTCCAGTTTTGCGACGACTGCCGACAACAGGGTCTGCCAACGCACCCCGCAAATGTTGGCATTTGTTGTTGCGCACAGATAACGCCTGCCAGAATCCGATGTGGTCCCCGTCTTGGTCCAGCGCATCTAACATAGTCTCATCGAACAGGCACATGAGTTCAGTCGGCCAGCCCCTCTTTGACGCAAGACCCGGTTGGCGGAGGTCGTGGAGGAACCGAGGAAATCGAAATTGCCGCAGGCTTTGCACGACGACGCCTCGTGAGGTGTAAGTGGCCATCTCGCCTGGCAGTCAGAGGGTAGTGCCAAACATCAGTTGGGCTGCGTCGCAGCCAAGGTCCGACTTCAGTGTGGAGCGAATGCCAAGATGTACAAGGGGGCAGGTTGTCATACCAGGTGGCTGGATCCTCTGCTACACACGTGGAGGTCTCCGGCTGGCGGTCAAAACGCCCGATCATGCCGCTGGCTGCTGGGTTGTAAACAGTCGTCCGAATGTGTGGGCAGCCAATAAATATGTGGAGGACTCGAACTCCGTCAGTCGTAATCGTTTGGTAGGGGGAGAATGACGATCTAAGGACTGACGCAAGCTTTGGAGATGATGTCCTCCTCCACACTCGGCAGAGGAATGACTTCAACCTACTGTGTGTACCGACCGACGCGGATAATGTGGTGAATGTATTCATTGGACGGAGGCCTGCGACATCTAGACGAAGGGGAAGGTGCCTGGTGGAGACTTGTCGTGCCTCCGCACCTTGTTCCTTTAACAACTCAGACATGACTGCACCCAAGCCCTGACACCCTTGTTCATGCCAGGCCAGACGAGCCTTTCCGCGAGCACCATCTGTGAGGCTCCGATCCCAGGGTGTGGGATACCACGCAGAGATTGAAGCACAGTTCGACACATCTAGGCGGACACAAAGGGGCGATGAGCAGGAGCCGAGAAGGCACAAAGTATTTTACCAGTAACGCTAGTTAGGGTTCGTGTCCACGAGCTGGAGACCACTAACGGACTCGCCGTCAGGTCGAACGACGCACGGTTGCTTGACCGCAGTGGCACTAAGGTCGATGCCATGTAAGAGCTGGACAGCATATCAGCCAACTCACGCTTCATGCCATCAATGTGGTGAACTGTGTCATGTAATCCAGATGGCAGTTTCTTCCAGAATGGGATGGAAGGATACACTCCCGTGGCTTGCGGTCCTGGTCAATGGTGAAATTACGACCTTAAACGAAGTGGCCTAAATTAAATAGGAAGTTGCCCAATCGCATTGAATCCCCGTTTGCGGGCATCCTGTCCCTATTCCCATGAACAGACTGGTGCAATGTTTTATGCCTCGCGTTTGATCGATGTGCCATTCCATTAAACCGGCATCTTAAACCCAGGACTTAGACTGCTCTCAATCAATCGACGTTTCCTGACAGTCAGGAGTGTGGCCTAGTTGTCCTTTATGGATTGTGATCCGTGGGATGGGTCCCGGTCCCCCTGTCCCCTGGCTGCGGTTAAATTCCCCAACCGAAAGGGCATTTGGACTGCATTGGGCATTTCAGTCTTTTTCGCACATGTAAGGGCGATAACCGCTGATTTGTTCCTTAATGGTGG